TGTCTAATCTCATGTTCCTGTGAATATTTTGAATGTTGATTTCCGAAGTCCTGGTCAGATGTAGCAGCAAAAATGCAGACAATGAAACAGGTGGTTTTAATATTGGTCTCTCCCCCTAGACATCTGAGCATCTGCACTCCTCACGCAGTGTCTGGTCTGATTCAGAATTCAGCGCTGCACTGGTTGTTGGGATTATGTTCTGCCTGGAGTTTGTCTTTTGGGGAGGGATGGCCAGCGGAGGGAGAGTGCACACTGGCTTAGCCATTTACTTGTCTCTGTGAACGCGCATGTGTTTGCCTCTCACTGTTTTGCTTCTGTGATTTGATTATCTGGGCTTTTGTTAGAGTGAGTAGAAGGTACTCTGCTAGGAATTACGTTTTGCAGATCCCCTCAGGACCAAAAATTCTTGGCCACAATTAAAGTGCAGTCTAAGCACATGCAGCATGATGTTTTTTCATCTACCCCAACCCCTTCTTTTTCTTTACTTTGTGTTCCTTCCTTTTTTATAAAAGTCTACTCCATCCCCTGAGGATTTCAGCCTTATTAACTAGGGCTTGGTGCACTTCATAGCAAGTATTTCATTGAATTTTCTAGTAGTATGGACTGACTTTTGCGTTTTCTCAATCCTTATTCTCCAACTTCCAACTAGTGTGGAAAACTGTTGGCTTATTGTTACACTAATACTGAATACATGAAAGAAAAATTTTCATAGATGATCCTGTAAATGTCCTAGTAACATCAGTCCAGCTGTGCTCTCCAGAGGCCTTGGGTTCCCATTGTCTTGTGCAGAGACTACTAATTGGAATTGAGTTTCTTTTTCAAATGTCATGGAAGAGGCGTGTTTCTGGCTTTAGCAGCTTGGGTGTCTGCTCTTGAAGCTTCAGCTGGCACATTTTTCCTGCAGTAACTGTAACCATGAAGTTCTGCTTCTGGCAGTCTCTTGGTTTCTGTCTGAAAAGCCACATTCTACTTCTCAGAACCCTATCACCTGGTCTTACAGCAAAGGACAAAAGGAATGTATTTGGGGATTCAATTCTATATTGTGAGAACAGCAGGAAAACGTGTACCCCAGAGGTATCCTAACAGGGAAAACGAGTGAAAAACAACACTGGCTGCTACAGAGGCAGCAGTGAAATGGCAGAGATACCAAATAGTTGGATACGTTGTGGAATATGATCTATTTCTGATAATTATTGGCAGAGCTAAATATCGAAATAAAATTTAAATTTATATAAAAAGTTCACAACTCATAGCCCATTGCTTATAACATCAAACTTGTGTAGATGACTTTATCAATTAATGCTTTTGGCACTTACTGATGGCTGTCTCAGTTGCAAGATTAAACCCATAGGTACTTCTTCAGAACAGCTCAGATCTTGAACTGAGCTTTGTTCTGTGACTAGAAATAAATTGCAATGCAGATGCTGTATTCACTCATGCTTACTTAGTTTCTCTTAATTCAGTCCAGAATACTTTGGCCAAGTGTATTTGATTAATGCAAATGTCATTAGGCTAGAAAACGGTAATGAAGCGAAGGACTTCATGGTGCTTTTAAGTAGGAACTCAATTGGAGATAGTTGGATTGAATATCTCCTCCATTGGAGGTATTCAAAAGCCATCCGGACATGGTCCTGGGCAGTCAGCTCTAGGTGACCCTGTTTGAGCTGTGTGGTTGGACCAGATGAGTTCTGGAGGTCCCTTCCAGCCTCAGCCATTCTGTGAACTACTTTAACATACTTTGCCAATTTCTTTCTTTAAGTTCCCCAAATTGCAACCACCTGAATTGATACAAGGCCATGTACTATGTAGACTGTAGATTATGCCTGTGTCTATGTGGCCTAAGTTTGTCTTCCCATTAGAGTTTTCATGAAGCTGTGATGTGTGATGGAGTGTAAAGGTTTTGGGTGGGCATTTTCCTGACACTGCCCACCTCTTCCCCCCACCTTCCCACCCTCCAACCCAAAAACCAACCCCAATCCACCAAGACAATTACTTCCTTTTTTACTTTGGTAATCTTTGAAAA